TCAGCAGCACGAATGCGCCGAACCAGCGAGATCAACTGCCAACCCACCAATGATGCTGGGAAACCTTCAGACAAATACACATCGGCCACCCATCACGAAGATGTCAAATCCTCCTCAGACAGCGAGGAGGAAGAAGTCCACAGACTCCGGTCAGAAAGTGCGCAACGGGACCAGCGGGGTCGTAAATCAAACTACCAATGTGCCGGATGCAGAGGAAACCACCCACGATCCGAGTGCAGATTCCTAGACGCCATCTGTCGTTTTTGTGAAAAACGAGGACATATTGCTAAGGTATGCAGAAATAAAAGAGGCTCCAGCCCCAGACGGAGAGGGAACAGCTCGAAAAGAACCGATGGCAACCCCACCACACAGAGGGACCGCCCTAGCAACCAGTGGAACCAGTACAACAGACCCCGAAGGTTTAATGGCGTACCCAGACGAGAAGAGGCTCCTCAGACCATCACCATCGGCCACGCTTCATCGCTAGATACAAAAAAAATCCGTGTAGAAGTCACCATCGAAAATAAACCGTGCATCATGGAAGTAGACTCCGGGTCTTCCCTATCCATGGTATCCTGGAAAACCCTCAAACAACTGATTCCCAACATCCGCCGCCAAGATCTCAGCAGTCAGAGACTCATACTAAAAGATTACCAAGGCAACCGGATTCCAGTCGCAGGCACCATCCATTTCCAGGTCTCTTTCAAGGGACATACTGCAATACTACCACTCACCATTGTTGATAGAGACCGGCCAAGCCTACTGGGCCTTCAGTGGTTCGCGCCATTAGGAAGCGGAATGGCTGGCATCCACCATACCGAAGACGATGACTGGGAAGTGGCCCTCGTCCAAGACTTCCGGGAAGTTTTCAGCGAAAATTTAGGCAAGTACAAAGGGTCCCCTATTTCATTTAATCTCCACCCTGACATTGCGCCCATTCGCCTAAAACCATGCCGAGTTCCCTTTGCTCTCAAACCCAAAATTGATGAGCAACTGGACAAATTAATTGCACAAGGCGTGTTAGAGCCGATTGACCACGCCCGATGGGAGACACCAATTGTCACCCCCATAAAGCCTGACGGGTCCTTGAGAATCTGTGGAGACTACAAGGCCACCCTCAATCACGCACTGCAGCAGAGCGCCTATCCGGTACCAGTTGTTCAGCATCTCCTACGTTCACTTAGGGGTGGCAGAATATTCGCAAAACTAGATCTGGCCCAAGCTTATCAACAGCTGCCAGTCGATGCCGAAACTGCAGAAGCCCAAACTATAGTTACACATCGAGGCGCATTCAAATGTAACAGGCTCCAGTTTGGAGTAAGCGTAGCACCAGGAATTTTTCAAAGCCTGATGGAGAGACTATTGCAGGGCATAAAAGGGGTCATGCCCTATTTTGATGACGTATTAATAGCCGCCCCAATGAAGAGTCAATTAGAGAAACGCCTCAGAACAGTCCTACAAAGGTTCAAAGATGCTGGCCTCAAAGTTAAAAAGGAAAAGTGCCAGTTATGTACAGAAAGGGTAGAATTTCTTGGCTACCTCCTTGACAAACAAGGAATTCACCCTACGGAAAAGAAATTGGCATCCATCAAAAATGCCCCAAGACCCAAAAACAAAACAGACCTTCAAGCCTTCCTGGGACTCATTAACTTTTATAACATTTTCCTACCCCAGAAGGCGACTGTTGCTGAACCCCTTCATAGACTCCTCGATAAAAGGGCCTCCTGGATTTGGGGACGACGGGAGGAACATGCCTTCCAACAAGTAAAGGACCTTCTCACTTCAGATGCAGTGCTAATACAATATAACGAAACACTCCCATTAACTGTTACTTGTGACGCCTCACCTTTTGGGGTGGGGGCCATCCTGAGCCACGTCCTACCAAATGGCACCGAAGCACCAATTGCATTTTTTTCGAGAACCTTGTCAAAGACAGAAAGAAACTATAGCCATCTAGACAAGGAAGCCCTTGCAATTGTATCTGCGATCAAAAGTTTCCACAAATATGTACATGGGAGATTGTTTTCCATCATCACAGATCATAAACCATTACTTGGCATCCTGGCAGGCGACAAACCTACTCCACACATTCTATCCCCCAGAATGACGCGGTGGTCAGAATTCCTAGCCGCTTACGACTATCAACTGAGGCATCGCCCTGGAAAATCTATTCCCCACGCAGACGCCTTGAGCCGCTCTCCACTACTCGAACTGCAAGATGACCCAGCTCCCACGCTACCAATACTACAAATTGAGACAATTCCCTCACCTCCACTAACTGCGCAGGACATCGCCCTTGAAACCAAGAAAGACTCATGTTTGGCATGAGTTCTTGGCTGGGTGGAGAGGGGATGGCCAGAAAACGAGCCCAAGGAAACCTTCAAACCCTTCAAGAACAGACAAACAGAACTTTTCTCACAAAGAGGGTGCGTATTATGGGGAGACCGAGTGGTCATATCAGCTAAACTACAAAAAAAAGTCCTACAAATGCTACACGATGGACACCCGGGCATCGTGCGTATGAAAGCGCTGGCGAGGAGCTACGCCTGGTGGCCAGGTATGGACAAACAAATTGAAACCTGGTTTGCCTCCTGTAACAGATGCCAAGAAAACCGCTCAGCCCCACCAAAAGCTCCACCAGCAGAATGGGAAACACCCAGAGGTCCCTGGTCAGCGACACCGGGGGGGGAGGGGAAAACCCGGGGGGGGGGAGGGGAAGCCGTGAGTCCTGTAATAGAACCAACACCTGTCCCATCAGAACTAACCCCAAGATCACCACATCATAGCTTACAATACTTACCAACTGTAGTTGAACCTGGGCAAACGAACACTTCACCTAGAAGCAGCAGCCAAGCAGGTTCAGCGAGCCCGGGGAGCCATAGCAGTAGCAACGAAGCTGATGACCCAATCACCCCGAGTTCACCAGAGGAGAGTCACAACTATGACACCGGTTCACCATTCCAGCTAGATCCAGCAAGCAGTCCATCTGAACCCGAAATTGAACACGGACAATTGGAATTACGCAAGTCAGGTAGACAGGTACAAAGACCCGCCTACCTGCGAGATTACATAACCCCGCCCCTTAAACAGAACCGAGACGGGAGGGGTGTTCCGGACTAGCAGGCTCAAAAGCCTGCAACTCTGATTGGCCCGCTAATAGCGGATCGTGATTGGTCACCTCAGACTGATCCGATTGGCTAGTAAACAGGCTGCCGCGATTGGCCCAGCCAAGTGCGGCAAACTCAAATCACTGTCATTGGCTGCCCAGCCGCAGCCAGCCCTATATAAGGGGCTGCTGCGGCTGGGATAGTTCGCTCAGATCTGAAGTCACTAATAAAGAGCTGTTGTTGCTATCTGAGTCTTGTCTCCGTTCTTGGACCCATCCTCCCAGATCTAACAATTAATACAAGTTTTTTCTTAATTTTAGAAGAGGCAGAGTCCAGTTCTGTGGCATGTTATTTGTGGCAATGAAGAGACTTTATCTTTTTTCCCCCTTATGCTCAAATATTCAGGAAATAACCATCGCCAGCTACTTATCTCTGAAATGTTGCACTTCCATTCCCCATAACTGTTAAGGATTGTAATGTATTTGATTTACATTCATTAGTCACCCAGCTCCAATTTCAGAAATATTGAATATATTTTCCATTTTGTGTCTGGAAATGGCAGAGATTGACCCTGAGGTTTTTGACTTGAAAATCAGATATTCTGTGGTTGATTTACACCTCTTCCTCCTGAAATTCACATTGTCATCATTTGGGTTTTGTTTTAGGAATTCTACTTTGAAAGACAAGGTCAACACAGAATGACACTCATGTAGGCAGACACAGAAACATCTCCTGAGTCATTTGATTAACCACAAAACTCTCATCTTTTGGTCCACATGACACCCTAAACCATATGTTAACCACAGAGATAGGATTTGAATGACACCCTAAGTTAAAATGTGGTTGTTGAGCTTATGATATCAAGTGTGCTGTGAACAGAACAGAACTATACATGAGAGCAGTGTTCCAATATCTCAGCGGCCGCCACAAAGAAAAGGGAGTCAAGCTATGTGCCACGTTGGCGCAGTGGTTAGAGTGCAGTACAGCTACTTCTGCTGCCTGCCAGCTGCTTGCAATCTGGCAGTTCAAATCTCACCAGGCTCAAAATTGACTCAGCTTTCCATCCTTCCGAGATGGGTAAAATGAGGACCCAAATTGTTGGGGGTAATATGCTGACTCTGTACACAGCTTAGTTTAGCTTAGAGAGGGCTGTAAAGCACTGTAAATCGGTATATAAGTCTAAGTGGTATTGCCATTCTCCAAAGCACCTGAGGGCAGGGCAAGAAGCAGTGGATGGAAACTAATCAAGGAGAGAAGCAACCTAGAACTAAGGAGACATTTCCTGACAGTTCGAACAATTAATCAGTGGAACGACTTGCCTCCAGAAGTTGTGAATGCTCCAACACTGGAAGTTTAAAAAAAAGATGTTGGATAACCATTTGTCTGAAGTGGTATAGGGTTTCCTGGCTAAGCAGGGGGTTGGACTAGAAGACCTCCAAGGTCCCTTCCAACTGTGTTATTCTATTCTGTATGAACCACTGTCTCACAAAAGATAACCACTTCTTATGTCCGATACATTCTAAAATACCTGATTAAATAAAATGGTTATCTTTTAAATACAGCAACAACAATCATCTGCAAGTAAAGTAGATCTCCTTTATGTCAGTCCCCCTCGTCAAAGGCACTGCTTGGCTTGGACAGAAAGCAGGCAGCTGTTGCTGCTGTCAATTGGCCTTGCGCTGGAGCAGATCTGGCTAATTCTCTCCCTGGCTCCCCGCTGCCTTCTCTCAGCTGATGACTTTGACAAAGCCCTTGCTTGCTGCTTCCTCCACTCGCTCTGGGTCGGAGCTCCAGACGAGTTGCCTTTGTCTGTCCTCCACTTTTCCCCGGGCAATCCAGACGGAGACGGGCTTCTCCATGGCCGACTCTCTCCTCAATCATTCTTGGCCGTCTTTCTCCAGGAGGTGGATGAAGAGATGGTCCTTCAAGAGAGGTAATGTGACAAGGGCTCATGTTTGGGGACGGCTGTCACCTAAGGGACAGTGAGGCAGAACAGGCTGACTTGCCTATGGATTCCACAACCCCTGAGAAGCGGTTACCCTGAGGGGAAAGTGGGCCCAATGTAAATATTTGGCTGCGCTCTTCTTCCCAAGTGATTTACACCTTGAGTATATTTGGTTCAGCCATGGCTCTTTGGACATTTACCTTTTTATGTGTGTGTGTGTCTACTGTATATGTATAAAGGGGAAACTCTGCTCTTCGGGGTTGATTTATCCATAGAGGGAGATTGTGGCCTTCCAACAGAGTCTGGCTTAATAAACAGAACAAAAGTCTATTACTTACAGAACCAAACTTTTAGAGTGCTTGTGAAATTTTCCGAAAAGTAACAGCTGCTGTTGAGGGCGACTGGGAGGCAGATATTCTCCTTCAGGTATTTACCTATGGTTCCATCTACTTGTTTTTACTTTATTTTTCTCTAGGACGGGTATGCCTGTGTATCTCTGACATTTAAACCTCAGATTGGCCACATATATGGGTTTCAAACATAGGATATATTTTTTCCCAGAGCTGTGGTGCTGTTTTATAATTGCTTCCGCCCGCATACACATACATTGGAGCTTCTCCAGACTGTCATTTTGTTTAGTACAAGAGTCACAACCTTTTATGGTTCCTACCAGGATGTGTGATAGGCAATTGCAGAATATATTTAACGTCTCTTAGAGCAAACAGTATTCTTTGGGGACAGTCTGCTTTTTGCAATCTTTAGGACTGTGTTCTTCCTGTGTCAAACTGTACATAGATCAATGAGCAAGAGGTGCACCTAGTCTTATATTATTTGGCATGATATATGGTGGGTGTCAAGGAATAATATTCCTGCCTGAGTTCCCATGATAGATGTTCTCTGTGAAGGAAGGTTACCCTTTGAGGTTTTAGCTGACTGGCCGATTCTGATTGGTGTCATTCAAACCCAGATGAAAATTAGAGATTAAGTATCTATTTCATTCTCTAAACAGAGATGGGAGGCTAGGATGTCCTCATAATAGGTCAGTCACATCTCTCATGTTCTTCTTACTTCTACACCTCCCCAGACATGGATGTGGGGATAAACTGGGTTTCCACCAAATCACAATTAATGAAATTTTTAAAGTGTTGTAATTGAAAAGATGCCTTTGATATTGGTCAAAATGGCTGTCAACTAGAGTTAGTTGGCTGAGTCATTTGATGTCGGAGTGAAGGCTAAGGTATCTATGATTAGTCGAAGATGGGGTGTAGCATGGTATGAGATTGAGAAGTCATTTGACTTTTAAGATATTGTGAATTTTCTTCTAATTCCTCTCTGCCTGTAACCTTGTTTAGTTGAAAAAAAAAAAAGACTGTCCTATTTTTTTCCAGTGAGATTGATGACTGAGGGAGGCTTTGAATGTGGACAGTTTAATCCTAGTTTGTTCTGGCAGACTGAAATGAATCTGCACGGCAGACTTCTTGGAAGCTCACTGTATTGAATAAATGCAGCTATTTGCTTAGGTTCAGTGAATTCTGGTTAAACAGAAAATTGGTCAGTTTAATAAGCAAGTGAAGCGTGTTGTGTTAATGTAGCGTGTATAGATAGCCCTCAAGTTATGACTGGTTGCTTAGCTTGCTTACTGCCAAAAATGGTATGTATGAGGTTTGGAGGTTCCTATGCCCCCCACCCCCGCAGTCATGTGACATTTCAGGTGTTTGGCAACTGGTCCATGTTTACAACTGTCTGCAGCTCACGTGTCTGCAATTTAGGACTTTTTGCTGAAATCTGGTGTTTACTTCCAGTTTTCAGCAAAAACCACCCATAGTGAATAATGGGGTTTGCTTAATGAGTGCGGTGCTCATTAAATAGCTGCCACAAAAAGACTCCCAAATTGGGTTGTTCACATAGGTGACCTGCTTAACAACCATCATGACTTATGACCATAATAAACAGGCTCTGCTATGGTTGTAAGTTGAGGACTGCCTGTATTTAGAGAAAACCAAAATAACTATTCAACATCACCGACAATGCTACCATCCTTCAAAATGATCTTGATTATGTGTCTGAATGGTCAAACAGTTGGCAACTCCAAATCTCGACCAACAAATGCTCTGTCCTACACATTGGTAAAAAAAAATCAATACACCAAATACAAGCTAGGCGGATATGACCTCACTGACGACCCTCACTCTTTCAAAGACCTTGTACTTCTCATATCGAATGACCTAAGCGTCAGAGCTCACTGCAACAGCATTGCCAAAAAGGCATTAAGAATTGTAAATCTAATCTTATGAAGCTTCTCCTCTGGTAATAATGATTTGCAAACTAGGACATGCATAATCTTTGCTAGACCAATACTTGAATATAGCTCCGCTGTCTGGAATCCGCACTGTATATCAGACATTAATACAATTGAGCAAGTCCAGAAGTATTTTACAAGAAGAGTACTACACTCCTCTGTTCGCAACAGAATACCCTACACCACCAGACTTGAGATTCTAGGCTTAGATAACCTTGAACTACGCCGGCTAAGGTTGGACTTAAGCATAGTACCTAAAATCACATTTTACAATGTCTTATCAGTTAATGAATATTTCAGCTTTAACCACAACAACACAAGAGCACACAACAGATATAAACTTAATGTAAACTACTCCAAACTTGATTGCAGGAAGTACGATTTCAGCAACAGAATGGTCAATGTCTGGAACTCACTACCTGATTCTCTTGTCACATGCTCAAAGCCCCACTCCTTTACCTTCAAACTAACCTCTATTGACCTCACCCCATTCCTAAGAGGTCTGTAAGGGGCGTGCATAAGTGCACAATTGTGCCTACTGTCCCTGTCCTATTGTCCCCAATTATTAGTTCCTATTTCATGTATTTAAACTTACGTTTATTCTTATTTCTATTATATTCTAAGTGTTTGACAAAATAAATAAATAAAATAAATATGTATTGTCCTACTTGCATCAATGAACCTGCAAGCTTGTGCAGGTATTTAAACAAATGTTTAAGACTGGCACATGAAGATCCCGGGACAGACTAAACATGTATGAGATAAAAGTCTATGGAGATTCTCAGTCATCCAGGTCATGGTTGTCCCAAAGGTGCTTTTTTTTCAAGAGGCAACTGGACTTTCTCATCCAAGAAGCTTCTTCAGCTCTAACCCCACCATCCAGTCAGAGCTGAAGAAGCTTCTTGGACAAGAAGCAAAACATCTTCAAAGAAAAAATCAGAAAGTCCAGTTGCTTCTTGAAAAAAAAGCACTTTTGGGACATGTATGAGATAATCTGATTAATCAGGGATTAAACAGCCATCAACGTGTCAGTTGCCTTGGGAAAGAATCTGACTACAGTTGTTGTTGTTTTTTTAAATCGTCTTCACTTCTTTTAAAAGAAATCTTTAATTAGACAACTGTCTTTTTTTCCTCCGTGTACAATGGCTCTGTGTAGCACACAGATACCAGTATTTTCAAAGCACGGTGAAATGCTCCATTCTACTCCCTTGCCTTTGAGTGTGCTCTCCTATCTTCTCATCACCATAAATAAAGGAGGAGGATGTCTGGCCTCTCCTTCCCCCTCCCCACCCATTCAGTGTTTTGGCAGAGTTTGTCTCTCTCCATGGTACCACCTGGAAATCACTCAGCCACTCTGAAGTAGGGCCAGACAGCCAAAGGGGAACATGCTGGGAGAAAGCGCTTGGCATCCCCATTGCTAGAGGCCTGCATATTGCCTAAAATGGTCTCCCTACGGCCCTCAGTGCTCTCCCCTCACAGAGCCACCTCTTCTGTGCACAACATGTTCCAGAGTTTACAGGGACTGATTTATTGTATTGAGGCTGGATTGTTTGAGGGAAGGTCAGATTTGAGGATAACCGTTGAGAACTCTGGGTGGGCCTAGGACACTCTGGGCAACAATGCTACTGGATCTGTTCCCAGATTGGAGTGTCACTTCAAACATGACTAGTGATGACAAGAAACTGTTATCTGGTTTTGTCTTTTGCAAGCAAGGGAGGAAACCTGGAGCAGCAGCAGCAGCCCTGATCTGAATCTAATTTAAGCTGTTCCCGCCTAACTTCTAGAATGTGTGTGTGGGCAGGCTTCACTCATTTGTCTAGATTTAAGAGCAAGTGCAAAGTTGGAGCAAAGCATGAAAACTGTGCACTGCATTTTAGACAACAGCTGTTTGAAGTAAATGCACTGGCAGAGCAGTGAAGCTTTCCAAGACTAAAGCAAGGGTTTTCAAACTTGGCAAGTTTAAGACTTGTGGACTTATATAACTGGAAGATGATTTTATGTTTTTATGTTTTGTCTGTATATGTTAGTCTTAAAAAATAAAAATCTTTTATATATATAAAAAAAAGACTTCAGGACTTCAACTCCCAGAATTCCTGAGCTAACAGGGCTGGAGGGGGAATTCTGGGAGTTGAAGTCCACAAGCCTTAAAGCTGTCAAGTTTGAAGACCCCTGACCTAAAGCGTCAAAGTGACTCTCTTAAGTTACTTGGCAGGTTAATTTTTAAAAAGTAGAATGTGCCCAGGGTTGAACCTTCTAAAATTGCAAAGATTTGAATATATAAAATAAAGAATACTATAAATCTTTTAGCATACATTCTAGATTTTCACCAGGATGAATGCTTGATTTTAAAAATGTTTTTGGAAGTGCATGCCCTGGTTTTTAGTGGGAGTTTATCAATAAGTATCAAATTAGTTGTTCAAGGTTCCCAATGTACATGGTAGCAAAACAGACTTGGAATAAGATTTGCTATGGGAAGAAAGTTAATTCCAAAAGAAAACGTAGAAACTACATTTCTACTACATGTCTAGATGAGGAATTGGCACTTCAGAAACAGTATGTAGTTTTTAGTGCAGTATGCTAAACAAAAGATCTCATACAGATAAAATCAATATTATCTCAATATTAGAACATTAACTAAGAGCTAATACTAATAATAGCAGATTCTACATTTCATTTCAACAATGAAATGTGGTATCAGAAGGATACTATAGGAAGAGTGAAGGCAAATGCTGTGTTTTTCCTACACCATTGCAGCTATTTCTGTATCCTTCAGCTGGTGGAGAGATAAGTGGCTGCTGCTTCCTCTGGCCCACAGCCTTTTTGTCTTGTAACTGGGTCCTTCTGCTCCTTTCACTCAGGGTCAGACTGCAAGCAAAGCGCAAGAGATTTCCCCAGCAATCATACTGATCCCACCTCAGGGTATAACAGCCCAAACACTTTGTCTCCATCCTTGATTGCCGAGGATGAGGTCTTCTTTGGCAGCATGGCAGAGGAGAGGGTGAGTACATTATTAACTACTTACTTACTACTAACTAACAGGACAAAATTGAGAGGAAGAAAATAACCCAGGTCTGTGCCATTCTCTGATCAGACTATAAACCACCATAGGTACTTAGGAAGGCGACCTAAGGATCCTTCCACTTATATGTATTTATGGAACCATTTTCTTTTGCAACTACGTGGCATTAGAGGAACAACCCTTTCAAGATGGTAATTCCAAAAAGCCCTTAAATTCTCACTTCAGTCAGAACTAGGTTTCTTCCATGAGCTGTACAGATATATTTTTTTTCTCCTTCTTGATTGGTGAGTGATTTCCCACGTGGTGGAACAATTTTATGGAGCACCTGTTCTTACTGTTTACTGTATGTATCTAAAGCTGCAAAGTATTATTTTCAGCAGTGGAAATTTTGTTTGTGAACTTCTTGATTTGAAACTGTCTCCAGACATTGGGCGTATTGTTCTAAGAAAAGCTCCAGAATTCAGTGACACATTTCATAGCTAGTGTGCAGAAGGTCACTAATTCATTCAACTGCAGGTTAGAATAAAAATCACTTGAAGAGTTAGTACCACTTTATAATGCCTTGCTGAGACCATACCTGGAATATTGCATCCAGTTTTGGTCGCTACAATATAAAAAAAAGATGTTGAGACTCTAAAAAGAGTGCAGAGAAGAGCAGCAAAGATGAGTAGGGGACTGGAATGTGAAGAACATGTGAAGAACAGTTTCGGGAATTGGGTATGTCTAGTTTATTGAAAAAAAGGACTTGGGTTGACATGACATAGCAATGTTCCAACATCTAAGGGGCAGTCACAAAGAAGAAGGGGTCAACCAATTCTCCAAGGCACCTGAAGGCAGGACAAGAAGCAATGAGTGGAAATTAACCAAGGAGAGATCCAATCTCAAAATAAGGAGGAATTTCCTGACAGTTAGAACAATTAATGAGTAGAATGAAGTTGGGAATGCTCCAACAGTGAAGATTTTAAAGAAGAGATTGGACAACCATTTGTCTGAAATGATATGGTTTCCTGCCTGAACAGGGGGCTGGGCTAGAAGATCTCCAAGGTCCCTTCCAAGTATTTTATTCTGTTGCCAGCATCTCTAGTAAGAAAGGGAGTTGGATGAAACAATGTGAAAAGACCTGTTCTACATATGCTGATCTGGAGAATCAGAGAAGATAATGCCCAGACAACAAATGGACTGTAGATAAGTCACAACAAAAATCAGTTTAAAAAGAAGTCTCTAATGAACACCAAGACATTTTTAATATGCAGAAGATTCAAGCATTAAGCCTAAATAACAGGGCTGTGATTTTAGATCAAAAACTTGCCAGAGGTTATATATGTGTGCTTTCTTTAAAGAAATTGACACAACCATCTTTGTATCTTTTTGTATCTTAGGTAATTTTATCTCAATTACTCAGTTTTCAGTCTGTACAAATACCTTCCTATATAAGTTTGGAAAAACTCCATTTAGAAACATTTTCTAAAGTGAGACAAGAATATTGTATGAAATCCTCCAGGTTCAAAGAAGAAAAAAGCCACATTTGCAGGGGGTGGGATTTATTTTAAAACTTACCTTCTGCTTTCTGGTTGCATGCAATATATTGGTCTAGCCATGGTTTGCTAATCATGATTTATCAATTAAAGCACAAATAGGTGGATTCACCCATGCTGAATATTAACCACAGCCTGTGAATCAAAACTATAGAGTCTGGTTTTACTAAGCCAAATGTTTACAAATGCTTTATGGTTAGCATGATGAATGAATTTAATCTATGATAACACTAAACTATATTCAAATAGGATCCAGAAAGGCAGAAGCACAACCTATATTGTGCTAGGTATTACACAACTGAAAAATAAATACTATCAGAAGAAAGAATTACCTTTTCTTTTATACAGCTATTGCTTATTATTAAATCTTCTTTGTACAAGTCAAGGTAATGTTTCTGTCCCCTATTTCCCACACCACAGCCAAGGAAGTGGGTTGAGCTGAGAGAGAATGACTGCCCCAAAGTCACCCACCCAGCTCTCGTGGCTAAGGTGGGACTAGAACTCACAGCCTGCTGGTGATTGGCCCAAAGTCACCCAGCCAGCTTTTATGCCTAAGGGAGAACTAGAACTCACCTTCTCCCAGTTTCTAACCCAACAACTTAACTACTAAACCCTCTCTCTGTCTTTCTATGTATCCATCCATGCCTGACCTCCCTTGACGTATTTAATTATTTGTTTGTTCTCTCCCTCCCATTGGCAGGAAGATGCTTCTTCTCCAGAACAGGACACACTTCCATGTATTGTTGACAGCAGCACAGAAGATCTGCTCTCTATAGACTCTGCTCTCCAGGGATCAGAGTACTATAAGGACCTGGAATTTGCTGCACCTACAGAGTCAAATAGTAACATGGGCTTGCAGCTTGATTGGACATCACAGGAAATTCCTGGTTTTTGCTCATCAGCAAAAAATTCCACAGGTTGTGAGGAGATGCTTGCCAATTCTCAGACTTTGGATACACCGTCCAGTTTTGAAATGGCACATCACTACTTGGAGGAGGTCCATGCTTGTCCATGCAGTTCTGGGGATCAGGGGAGCTTTGTCAAAAGTGAGCAGGAAGAGACACTGCATGGTGAGGAAGGCTTTCCAGTTTTGACCAGGTCTATGTCTACCTCACGGCGGCACAGCTGGGAAAGTCTTCAGTCTCCAACAGATGCCCAGCGTAGGTGAGTCTATCCTAGGAATGGGAAAGTTGAAAAGATTAATATTGGAATTGCTTGAGTAAAACTAAACATTCTAGTTCCACCATTCTTTCTTTGGACTTCTCTTTGCTTTTCCACATGCAATAATGAGACGATATACCTAATTTAAGCAAAAGAATGTGAACGAACTACTTTAAAAAGGTAACAGCCACAAATGTATCCATTTATATTCCTCCTTCAATTTTATAAACAGTTCAAGATCGCAACTACCTATTACTCCTTCCTCCTCCTATTTTTCCCACAACAACCACCCTGTGGAGGTGACTTGTACTGAGAGAGAATGAGTGGCCCAAAGTCATCCAGCTGGCTTTCATGCTTAAGGCGAGACGAGAACTCACAGACTCCTAGTTTACAGTTTGGTGTCTTTAACCATTCAACCAAACTGGCTACTACTGCAAATGTTTAGGCAATTATTCAGGCATGAGGACTATGCTTTATACAGGTTCATAAAATTTTCATACGGTTGCCTCAGCTGTGCTCTAAGTGAGCAACATTTTCTGGAGTTGCTTTGATCAAGGGAAGCTTATTTTAATTCTGAGCTGCTCTTAAGATGCTATTGCTTTTCAGGTAAAATAGAGTTTCAAATAGCCAATCTAGGATCTATGGATTATAGGAAAATACTTTCAATAAAGTATGTATGTATGTATGTATGTATGTATGTATGTATGTATCAGTGGTGGGATTCAGTTTTTTTTACTACCAGTTCTGTGGGCATGGCTTGGTGGGCATGGCAGGGGAAGGATGCTGTAAAGTCTCCAGTCAGAGGTGGGGATTTGCCGGTTCTCCGAACTACTCAAAATTTCCGCTACCGGTTCTCCAGAATTGGTCAGAACCTGCTGAATCCCACCTCTGGTATGTATGTATTGTATGAATCCCAGCCAGCTGTATTTCCAAACTCTTTTCAGACTGGAATAAAGGCTTTCATATTCAAAATATTCTTTTGAGGGCATAATGATAAAGCAAGATATTTTCTGAAATTATTCTGTGAAATCCCTGATGCTCTCTGAGCTTGGCTGTCTGAAGACTTTTCATTACCCAACTAGGTAACATCATCTGTGCTAGTAAGTGTGGCTTTTGCTCCCCATTTATACACTGTGTGGCTGTCTTTGTGTGAGTGTCATTTTCTCCGTTGTAGTTCTTTGATTACGATATTGTTTTCTGCTTGATTTTTTTTGTCCGGTGTTAATCCCTGCATATCTGCATGTTGGCTGATGGAGAAGCTGTTTTCTGTCTGTTTCCTTCTTAGCTTTTATACTGTCCCTTTTGAATGGTGTTTGGTGTATCTCTGTTGATGGCTAATTTGCCTGAGCGTCAAGCTTCCAGGAATTCCCTAGCATTTTTGGATTTGGCTTGATGTAGCACTTTCCTAAAGGTTGAGTTTTTCCATATGTTATGAGATTAAGGGGTTTTAATTGTGTCTTTTGACTTTTAATTGGTGTTCATGGATGTGCTCTGTCACTCTTCTACCTATCTAGCCAACATAATGGCTGTTTACATTCTTACACTGGATGTTGTACATGACGTCTGGTTTTGTGTGTGCGTGTGCTATGGTTGTAATACTGTTGGTTCTGATATATTGTTGATATATGGCAGTATTATTCTTTTCATAGCCTAAGTTGGATGTGCTTTACTGGGTTGAATGCTTAGTACTAGACTCAGTTTACATCTATTGGAATAAATCCCCAAGAAGATCTTGTGGAACCCATAATCTGCTTGTTCTTAAATCACCACAAGATCTTGTTCATTTTAATGAGTGGCAAGTGTCTGCAACCTGGTGCTTTCCAAATGTACTTTCATGATCATGTTCCTGCTGGGAGCTGCTGGATTATGTTAAGGGTGATATATATTATATTGCTTGAATGATATGGTCTAACATCACTTATACTTCATTGCTGAACAGAGATCTGAATTTAGTTGCCTGTCTGGAGCGAATAACTTGCAAATATTGGTTTTGAATACAAGAAACATGGAGTTTCAAACTCCCTTAGTCATGTAGCTCATTGGGTGATAATTATATCAGTCACTCTACCCTTTCTGTTAATTAGACCTAGAATATAAAAAGAATAAAATGTAATAAAAGATACATTTTTTTTCTTCCTAGTGTTTTCTCCCAAGTGTGCAGGGTTCACTTTTTTTCCTGGATCGACCAAGTATTGATGCAAGAAACAGTGTTGTATGCAAACTAAGGACACAAATGTGTTCTGTGGTCATAAACTAACTTAATTTCTGCATAAGGGATTTAGAATATCTCCTAAAGTTATCCAACTATTGTTGTGCCAAAATAACAGTACGGCGGACAAGCTTTATATCACTTCAATAACAGCTACATGAGGCTATGAAGTTGTTAGTAAGTTGTTAGTGAGGAAATGAACACTGTGGTTTTGCAGAGCTTACTTTACTAAACACACAGAATTTCCAGAAGATTTTCCTTTTAATCTAAGAACTCGTATCTCAAAAGACTTATATTTTGATTTACCTAGCCTACAAAGTTCGTTTGTAAAGCATTTCATTTTATTTGGACCACTTCAGCTTTTGCAAAACTTAATTCTGATTTTCTGAATACCCAAATTCTGGCTAGTATCAGCTACTAAAGTGCCTCTAACAGATATTTGCAGCATGCCTTTCAAAAGGAAAAGGGGCTGTCTAAAAAAATCAAAATTGCTATCACAACTATAAGAGAAAAAGCTGTCAGGTGATGAGTTAGAATATTTTGTTTAATTTGGGGGTGTGCAATTAACACTGGGCATTCCTTTTCAATGACTCAGCTGTAATGATGTTGTGAGTAGATGTCTCCTTATTTCACTGCCAACTCTGAACAAGCAATATTGATTTTATAGCACAGCCAAAAGAGGGGTTATTTCAAACTCTCTCCTCCTTATAAGGTGCCTGAGGAATTATCTGATCTTGGGCTCTTGGCAAAGCTTTCTGTCATGGGCACTGGACTTCTCCTGTGGCTAGGCAGACTTTAGGCCAGGTATAAAAGTTGGGGGTGTGAGGTGGGAGGAAGGCCAATCAAGTTTCGGAGTTGTGCCTCTTGAGCTCCTCCATCAACTCTTAAAAGATGTTCTTTAAGAAAAAAATAGAAATAACAACATGATCTTATATTACTTGTTAGAAGAACATGCCAAAAACATCAATTCTCAATTGGTGTCCCAACAGCCTGTGTTATTTTTGTGAATATGCTATAAAAGCAGTGTAAATAAATTTGACAGGGAACTTGGCATCTTTACTCAGTTTAAGCAGTCCAAAAGAAGTTTATATACTTATTCTGCATGCAATAATTTTGCTTGAAACTTTAAAGAGTTTTATTTGCAAAGAAGAAGGGTCAGCTAAGGAAGAATATCCCAAAAGTGCATATCAAAAGGCAGCTGGATTTTCTTGGTTTCTTCTTCAAAATATTTTGCTTCTCTTCCATGAAGCTCCTTCAATTCTTCAGTTGCCTTTTGAAATGCACCTTTGGGACAACCATGACCTGGATGATTGAGAATTTTCATAGACACTAAGTATGAATACTTTAATAGGTATGTTAAGACTTATTGGGTGAGGCAAATGCATTAAATATCAAGGTAATAAACAAAAATATAATCAATTAAAATTAGTTTTCTGTAACCTAATTCACAGCATGCTTGCTTAACTTAACTTACTCCACCAGAACTCTCAGACAGGAGTAAAAGTTTTCTTCTCTTTTCTTTTTGTAGCTAATGAATTTTCAAAGTTGTTCAGGATATTACTATAAGAATAATATTACTATAATAATTGAAGAAATACAGCAGGAAAAAACCCCAAAATAAATTACACTTAATCAAAACATAGCAACATAGAATCTATTTTCCACACTTATTGTAAAAGGGGTTCCTGGAATGCTCAATTGTGCATTTTAAGGCATCACTACAAAAAAAAAAAAAGAGAAAACCCCTTTAAAATATCTTAGGTCTGGTAGAGAGTTAAGACTGTTGTATCCTTGAAATGTTTCTTCTGTTGTGATCCAATTTTATTCCCCATCAGGCTCAGTCTGGATGCATCAGAGCTAGGGAGTGACACAGAAAGGGAGGAAGAAAAGGAGAAGAGTCTCCCTGATTTCTCCCCACCTCTGTCTTGGTCAGGACTAGAAACTTGGAGTGCTAGCAGTGTGATCAAAGTGGAAGATGAGGCTTTGTGCCAAAACCTGGGCCTTGTGGAAAAGCCTGGGAATGTGGTAAGTCTTGGTGGTTTCGTTAGCTGCTCTGCATTATGGAGTGGATATAGCACCCACCTAAGTTGGCGATAAAAGCACGGCCAGATTAGCTGTTTGCTTCAATCAGCTGCTTCAAATGCCTCCCGCCAAAAGCTAATTAACATCATGGCTTGAGGCTTTACCAAAATATATTTATGTGTGTGAGGTAACTCAGACCTGGTAACATAACTATTCAAAGAAGATACTAAAACTTAATGCAGAAAAGGCCCAGGTGTAACCTTCTGCATCTCCAGGTAAGGATTAGTTAGCAAGTAACAAAGGTCCTTTGCCTGTCTAATATGTAAAAGTGGAAAAGACAATCCAGGCTAAGTAGACTGATGAGCTGATCTGTGAAACAGACAGCAATTTATTTTTGAATTGAGACCTCATTTTCTCCCAGCGTTGGAAAGTTGCAAGGTGGTACAAAATAAAACAGAACAACTAAACCAAACAGAACTAAACCGCCCCAACAAGACAATATTGTAAACCAATCCAATTAGACCTCAGTATTTTTAACATGAAAGCAAACAATCAACACTGATCCATTTAAAACACTACCCTGAAACAGAACCAAGTGTATATAATTTGAAACTGTGGCTAATCTGGAAGTGTCTGCTGAATATAAATAGGGTGGAACAAGCAAACTCCTCTATTAAGTAAAAAGACACGTAAACGTCTTCAAATTTTCACAATTACGAAAAGAGATGATTTCAGAGTTGTGGGTTCAGGTCTCTCAAGGTGTAGAACTTGCAAATGAAAACCGAAGGCAGGATGCCCTGGAGGCTGTGTAGGTCTGGATGGGAAAAACAGGCTTCAATTGAATTTAGCGAGACTGAATGGGCTTTGGGTGTTTAGGATCTTCTGGGTCTGGGTTTCACCCTATTTAGTACTGGAGGGGCCCCAAACAGATCCTGTATGTAATCTGGACATCCTTCTGGATTTACAATTCAAGGAACAGGTAGCAATCAGGGCCAGGAGGATTTTTGCACAATTTTGCATTGTGCATCACAGTTGTGCCTGTTCCTGGATTGTGAGGCTCTGCTCACAGTTATCATGCCAGCTCCTCCTTCAGAGTCCCTAATAAATATACATCAAGCAAATATTTACATCTCTGAGCATAGAATCAATAAATGGGTGCAAGGTCAGCTGGTCTTCAAAGGCGGCAGGTGAAGTTAACTGGAGAAATCTGGAAGCCCAGAAGACAATTTGGGAGAAAGAATGGGGGGATTTAAAGTGTAAAATAGGTATGTTAAACTTTACAAAGGTTTAACACATCTATTTTTCACTTTTTTAGGCAACAAACTGTGCTGCCAAAAAATGATGGTTTGCCGTTAAATCTGAGGTGTGTTCTAATAGGTGCCAAATGGGGGGCTGGCTACTCTTGTACTAAAAGGACAAAGTGAACAGGGTGTCCCAGGGTTCAATGAACACATTAGCATTACATCATCTTAAACAAAGAAGGGGCCAAGGGCTGACTGTTGTGGAGATCATGAGTTAGTCATGTTCACATTCCAAGTTAAGCTCGAGTGAAAGAAGAAAGCCAGTCACTTTCCACAATATGAGCCTGACCATATCTTGACCCACCATTTTCAAGGAGAACATCACAAATCACTTTGAAATTCAGAAACTCATTAATAAAGAAACAGTGGGATTAGATTAAGAAAGTTATTATGAGAAAAGACTGCCAAAGACCAAAAAGAAGAAGAAAACAAACTGGGTATTAGAACAGAGGGTAAAAATTACTAAGTGAACAGCAAAGAAAGACAGTTTTCAAGAAGGTATTTGACTAAAAACATTGAGAAAGCTGTTGGAAGAGGCAAAAAAGTGGTACAGGTAGTCCTCAAGTTACAACCACAATTGAGCCCAAAATTTATGTTGTTAAGTGAAAAATTTGTTAAGTAAGTTTTGCCCCATTTTACAACTTAAATAAGTTTAGCAACACTGTTACTATGTTTTTAATGAAAATATGTTCAGGGTTAAAGAGAGCAGTGCTAATGGGTTGCTCTCTTTCTTTTAGGATAGTGACAACAGTGGGAAGCGGCTGAGGTCTACTTCTGTCTCATGTTCCTGTGGCAATGTCGCCTCTCAACATGTATCCCAAGGCCTGGAAGTTTCGCTTCCAATCTCAGTGGGTTAGTAGCCTTCTTCGATTGCTTAGTTAACAGGTTTTCTGGAAAAGAGAGATGCTATCAGATGCAAAGATATGATGGGAATATTACTCTTGATGTAACACCTTCCTACAGAGGGACATCTCTTAACCCACAGCTAGAAATGGTCAAGCTAGAGAAATAATTGGAGGGAAGAAGCAAATTTAAAATTGAACACTTTCCATGCATTGTGCAAGGTGTAAATTCTTCAGCTAGAAAGTTAGACATGTTTTAAAGTCTTTTATTCTCTCTAAAAAAAAGAACAATCAATATGTTCCTGAGATATTACGTATAGTTTTATGTTTGTCTACTGGTAATGCACAAAAATATTAGAAAAATATATTTTAAAGAATGAACTTAGAATATAAATGTTCCTACAAATAGGTCAGGTAGCAGTCACTTGCATTTCATTTCTAATTTATTCAAAAATATTTTACACTACATTTGAGGGCTGCAACCAAGAGAGGAAATGTTTTTATCTGCTTTTGTCTTTGACAATGGGACTATTTTGTTTCCAGCTTTTTGGGGGGAGAGTAGTTAATATGCAGCTATAGTGTGGTTTGACTTTACTTAGTGTGATATTTGAACCTACACATAATAGTTTAATGTTATGTATGAACCAGACAGAGCCTTGTGGTTTATTCAAAGAATAATATTTTAAAAATCCTGGTGCAAACTATGTGGGAAGCTAGAGAACTGAAGAATGATTATAAGGTTCTTTTATATCCCAATCTTTTCAAAATTTCATTTTAGGGATTGTGCCACCTATGTTGGATATGATTCAAAAGGACCATGTAGCCCCAGAACAAGTGTAAGTGGCTGAATGGGAAAAGGATCCTTCTTCCCCTTGAAAATCTACCTCTTCTATCTGTAATCTAAAGAAACCATGTTCATTGTCCTAGCATTTTATCCTCTCCAGGGATATTGAGTTTAAATGATAATTTTCTACTTGAGTTGAATCCTGGGCATTTTTACATGTTTGTTGGACTGACACCTTTTTGTGGGGGGTTTAAGCATTTTGGTAGAAATTAAAAATAGATGAAACATATTCTTAGTTGTTTGTTGTAGTTTTGGAGCTCTAGGGGGAAGATAGCATTTGGGAAATGGCAACATTTTAGCAGCATTCCTGCTTGAAGTAGCTCTTCAGCAGAGAGGTAGGGAATTGCTCCTAAAAGTGTATCTGATTTAATTACATTTTCTAACAGGTTAATGGTTCAGGAGGTGCTGAAGGAGCTAGCACAGTATCATAGGTAAGTGTTCAAAATCATCATCCCCAAATGGCACCTAATATTCCCTTACATAATTATTGCCTGGTAGGTCCAGATTGACTCCTGCAAGTGATAAAATCCCCCTGGAAAAATATAGAAAACATTCAAATTATCTTAATAGAGAGGTAAAGAAAAATAGATTATTCTGGATTTTCTAAAATAACACCATATTTGACTGGGTATCCTTATTTCCAGGCAGTATACTGGAAGGCTGGTATTTAAAAGTTTTAGAATCAAGGCAGTTATAGTACAGCATTTTACCAATTCTTCCTTTTAAAAATGCTGTTTGATTAATTAATTATATTTAGAAACTACCATCACCCTCACAGAGGGACTGGGTGGTGATGGTATACAAATAAAACATTAAAAGCATAAAAACAGTATATAAAATTTTAAAGAGGCAAGGAATAATAAAAAATAATTAAAAAGTGGGGGGAGAGCTTTCAGGGAGTCAAAATTAATGTCACTGTATCATGACAGGAAGTGACATAAGAATAGAAAAATGATGGCAGTTCCTATTATTGGATATCCTCACTGTAATTTAGATCAGCAGTTTGCTGCATCAGTATATTAACTTTTTAGGTTGCTTTTATTGTAATGCCTTTGTTTTTACTGTGTTTCCTTGCCAGTGCTAAACAGGTGTACTCACCTGAAGGTAAAAATGAAACCCAGCAAAACTTGACCTGGTTTGAATTCCTGTCTAATGAGTAAGTTACCTCATCTATGTGCATAATATTACATTTTTGTCCCTAATTCTGCTGTGATACAACAAAAATAAGGTGTAGTGTTGACTATACGGGTAGTCCTTGACTTACAACTGTAATTGAGCCTGGAATTATAATCATAAGGCATTGTGGTCATAAATCAAGGCATATCATGTGATCAGACCCATTTTTTGACAGTTTTTGTGGCGATTATTATGCCAACAATGCAGTCATCAAGTGAATCCATTTTTTTTAATGGGTGTTTTCTGAAAATCGGAAGTAAATGTCAGAAACCAACAAAATGTTGTAAAACAGGGTCACATGACCACAGGGCATTGCAAATAGTCATAAAGGTGAGCTGGTTGCCAAGTTCCCCAAATGCAATTACACGACCATATGGGAGAGGTTGCAGCCATCATAACTTCAAAAACAGGTTGTACGTAGCTCTGGGGAGGTCTGTTGCAATTTCAAATGGTGTTTAAACAACCAATCATAAATCGAGGATTATTTGTACAATGATAGTGCTTATGGAAATATGGCATCAGTTCTGTATCTTTGCATTTCTTTGGTGTAGGGTTAAGAAGATTGTATAGCGGTTAAAGTGCTGAAATAGAAATCAGGAGACTATGAGTTCTAGTCTCACCTTAGCCATGAAAGCCAGTCGGATAACTTTGGGCCAGCTACTCTCTCTCGACCCAATCCACCTCATAGGTTTGTTGTGAGGCAGGAGGAAGCAGTGCCTCATATGCTCACCACCTTGGGTTATTTATAAACACAATAAAGGTGGGATATATCAGGCTCAGGATAGAGTTCTGCAGCTCTGCTGGTTGCTTACTTTATACAGGTAGCCCTCAACTTACAACATTTTATTTAGTGACCATTCAAAGTTACAACAGCACTGAAAAATGTGTCTTATGACCCTTTTTCACAGTTACGACATCTGAAGCATCCCCATGATCACGTGATCAAAATTCAGCTGCTTGGCAAACTGGTTCATATTTATGACCGTTGCTATTGTATGTCCCACGGTCAGGGATCACCTTTTGTGACTTTCTGACAAGCAAAGTCAGTGGGGAAGGCAGAGTCACTTAACAACCGGGTTGCTAACTTATCAACTGCAGTGATTCACTTAACAATTGTGGCAAGAAAGATTGTAAAGTACAGCAAAATTCATTTAACAAATGTCTCACTTAACAACAGAAAGTTTGGGCTCAATTGTGGCCGTCAGTCGAGGACTACCTGTAGTTTTTGGCACCAAGTAAAGACTTATTTTATAAGGTCTTTTTTAAACATGTGTTAGTTTTATACTGGATGAGATATTTAACACTCCTTATTTATTAATTTGGTTTTCCCTGCTTGTCATTTCTATTGGTTAAAATATAGCATATTTATATTCTGTTAACTATTTTGGAAGCTTTTTGAATGGAAGACATAGAAATTAAATCATCTAAAACAGATTCCCTGTAGTTAAATGTCTTTATTTCCTTCTTTTCATCCTTCCCTACTTACCTTCAACAGGTGTGAAGAGAGTCCAAGGAATGACAAAACTGAAAAGGGCACCAAGGTGAAGCGCCGGCTGAGCAATTTGCGCAACCGTGTTACTGGCTCATGGCAGAAGGAGAAGGTGAGAGGGCTGTATATAAACTACTCGACACAATGAAATATGCAGTTTTATATCAGAAGTTTATAATGAAGATGTAATGAGAAAGAAGAATTAAACAGGAATTATGTCTCAAAGATAGAGCACATATTTTCTTTACAGAATGTCTCAGATTCAATCCCCTAACTTGCATTAGAACGATCAAATAAAAAGCATAGAAAAATCTCCCTGCTGTAGCCCTAGAGAGATCAAAGGAAAAAATACAAATATTCTAAAGGAACCAAAATGGTATTCCAAAAACTGAATTGGAAAGGAATATATTGTGAATGGACTTTTGATGGTATTTAGTTGTAAAAAATCTTGACATTATGGTACTTTCTGTTCTCTTAGGGTAAGAATAAAGATCGGGAGAAGGAGGCTGTGGAGGCAAAGGAACGAACACAGGCACTGCATGGGCATGAACTAGCACTAGGTGCCTTCTCTAATGGTACCTGTTGCTCTCTCTGTGGCAAAATCCTGCTGAACAAAACAGGGCTACAATGCCTGAGTGAGTAATTCCCTCCTGGTTCACAGTGTGAGACTCTTATCTCCTAGGTAGCTTGGCTTTACATTCTCTACTAAAAGAGTTCATGAGTTCTGCTTTCTTCCTCCCCCACTGACTATCTCAGATGTCATCCAATCTCTGTACAGGTAGTCCCTGACATATGACAACCATTTATGTTGTTAAGTGAGGCATTTGTTAAGTGAGTTTTGCCCCATTTTATGATCTGGCTTGCCACCACTGTTAAATGAATCACTGCAGTTGATAAGTTAGTTACCTGGATGTGAAGTGAATCTGGTTACCTGGTTGACTTTGCTTATCAGGTCGCAAAAGGGGATCACATGACCCTGGGACTCTGCAACAGTCATGAGTATGAGCCAGTTGCCAAGCATCTAAATTTTGATCATATGATCATGGGGATGCTTCAAAGGTTGTAACTGTGAAAAACAGTCATAAATCATTTTTTTCAGTGCCATTGTAACTTTGAACGGTCACTAAATGAACTGTTGTAAGTCAAGGACTATTTGTACTTAAAGTGGCCTCTTCCTAGTCTGACATTGCTCTGTACTGAAAGCATTTTTAATATTTAGTACACTTTTTTGGTTATGTGCATGCATATGCTTTATTCACTTGCAGGAAAAATTGTACTATATTCACTAACTTTTTAGCCTGTTGACTAAATTTTGATATACTGTGCTAAATGCCTTTTCTATTTATAAACTATGCTTCAATTTTAACTGTGGGGTACCACTGAACATTTCCTGAATGATTGGTTATCATTGACAAATAATCACTGGCCCTTTAAATACAATTCTACTGCAGACAAAACAGAATAGAATAGAATAGAACAGAATAGAATAGAATAGCTTTATTGACCAAGTGTCATTGGATACACAAGGAATTTGTCTTGGTGTAAATACTCTCAGTATACATAAAGAAAAGGTACATTCATTAAGAATCAAGAATCATAACGTACAACACTTAATGATAGTCATAGGGTACAATCAACAATCAAATCATACTAGGAAACAGTCAATATAAATTGTAAGGATACAAGCAACAAAGTTACAGTCCTACAATCACAAGTGGGAGGGATGGGTGATAAGGAGTGATGAGAAGATTAACAGTAATAGTAGTGTACACTTTGTAAATAGTTGAACAGTGTTGAGGGAATTATTTGTTTAGCAGGGTGATGGCTTTGGGGAAAAAACTGTCCTTGTGTCTAGTTGTTCTGGTGTGCAGTGCTTTATAGCTTTGTTTTGAGGGAAGGAGTTGAAACAGTTTATGTCCGGGATGTGAGGGGTCTGTAAATATTTTCACAGCCCTCTTTTTGACACGTGCAGTATACAGGTCCTCAGTTGAAGGCAGGTGGGTTGTAATTGTTTTTTCTGCAGTCTTAATTATCCTCTGAAGCAGGGGTGGATTTCTACCGGTTCTGTCCTCCTCTTTAGAACCAGTAGCTCTGAAGAGCAGCAGACATAGAACCGGTTCTATGTCTGCTGATGTTTTTGCCCACCTGCCCACTCGGGCTCTTACTTGATCTTTATTTCCTGATTTTTCAACTTCAGCTGCCGAACAAGGCACAGCTGCAGTTAAAAAAACAAGAAAAGAGGGCTGTTTCAAAGGCTGCTTCTTGGGGCTGAAGCGTGCTAATGACATGCTAATGATGATTTACAGGCATACAGTGGCCAGGGAAGCTCCTAAATCGGTAGTTAACCTGTAGTATCCCACCCCTGCTCTCACGTCTGTGTCTGTCCTGTTGGGCTGCAGAACTAAACCAATTATAGAGGTGCAGATGATAGACTCAATAATTCCTCTGTAGAACTGGATCAGCAGCTCCTTGGGCAGTTTGAGCTTTCTGAGTTGGCGCAGAAAGAACATTCTTTGTTGTGCTTTTTTGATGATGTTTTTGATGTTAGGTGCCCATTTTAGGTCATGTGATATAGTAGAACCTAGAAATTTGAAGGTCTCTACTGTTGATACTGTGTTGTCTAGCATTGTAAGAGGTGGTAGTATGGGAGGGTTTCTTCTAAAGTCTACCACCATTTCTAC